GCCCCCGTCCAGGCCACGCCCCTTCCGCTTTTTTCATCACTCGCCATTGCCATGTATGCTAATAGCATACATCGTTAGCCCAATTGCCGAATTACCTAAGTCATTTTTGAATGTTCATTCAACAAACGGGAAGAATCCAGTTGCCTTGAGTCAACCTTTGCCGGTTATTCTGCCCCGTAAGACTGACAATCAACTGCCCCCCCCCCCACCCACCCCTAAAAAAACCCCAAAACAAAATTTGCACATTGGTGTTGAATTATTTTATGTACCATTCTTTACTGTCATGTTGTCATTGGCCATCGTGGGCACGTGTGGAGTTCTTTGTTGTTGTTTCGCTATCTTAAATAGCCGTGTTGGACATGTATCACTCGAAACAAACGAAATTGAATATCGGAATTAAATCGGTCATTGGCTTGGGACCTGGAGTTTTAATTCATCCTAAAACAAAGTAGAACATGCCAGAAAAAAAAGCCAGTTGGGTGTTGAACGCTACATGAAGAAACCCTTCTCCACCCTTGACCTACCTCTGGTAAAGCTTTGGCGGGTCTGCAGTGGATCCCGCCAACATACTTGAAGTTAGGCAAAAAAGGACGAGGATAGTCAAAATCCCAGTAAGTCCTTATCAACCAGATGTCTGCCCTACCCACCAACTCACAGGTACTGGTGGGCTTGCCTGTCAAGAAAAAGACTCAAATGTTCAGCTTTGGCATCCTGTCAGCAAACACGCATGCCGCAAAAACTGAGCTTAAAACAATTATATATATATATATAAAATATGAAATATGAGATTACCAAATTAATTTCGGTAAAATTATTCGCCAGTTAAACAGGAAAATTTGACTTGACAAGTAAAGAAAATCCCTTCGGATAGCTTACTTAACACTAGTAGTCTATTTACATGAATTACGATATTTCAAAATTTTAGCCAAACTTAACAACAGACAAGCTCATAACTTAATTTACTCGCATAACAAATCAATTTCCTCTTTTAAAATGAACTGAAATAACATTACAGTGCACCCCTGCTGTTCAGAAACAGAAGCAGAATCATTTTCACTGGCCCCAGATTTAAAAACACACATGGAATTGGTCTCTGGTAGTTTGAACCACACAAGTATTACGGTAACGAGCAACTATAACAAAAAAATAAAAATTGAGCGCAATGCACAAGTATAGTGAGTCGTAAGGATGCCGCGAGTGCTGTCGTAGCGAACAAGGACAGCTGTGCAAGTGATGCGGCACCATCCAGCAAAAATAAAGCAGTGCAATAATTAGGATGGAACGACAAATGTCCATTAACTTGCTTTGAAGCTGTAGGAAATCTGTTTCGGTTGGATTTGAGTTGCCGCCACGCGCCGCTCACCTTTGAACTCTGTGTAGTATTTATCCACTTCTGACCAAAGGGTTAATTCAATCACGGCGTCATTCAAAGCGTAGAAGAGGAAGTTCCACGCTCTCTCGGAGAAGCTCATTTTGTCGGTCAATTTGCTCATGACGGCTGGCACGAAAGATGGCGGCGAAGGCAGCTGGCCGCAGTACCGCTCAACGTTGTACACCATGGTGAAGCGCAGCGAATAGATCAGCGGAATGTCCAGTATCTCGGCCACCAACTCGCTGCCCATGTAGATGGGGTCCGCCAGGACCAGGTCATAGTTGCCCTCCTTCAGTTTGCTCATGATGTTCTCCGACTTCACCACGCCGTCCAGATACTTCAACGTGTACTGCATGTCTTTCTTCATCAGGGTTATGAATTTGGCGTAGAGCTGAAAGTAGTTCATGTAGTCAATTTCGTAAATGGAGAAGGCGAGGAACTCCTCCATGAAACTCTCAAGTTCCTCCAAGGAGATGGAGACGTTGAACTGCAAGTAGTGGAAGCGAGACTCCTCGCTGGCCTCCATAAAGATCGAAGCGCTGGGAATCAGAACGGTCACATGGTGCCCACGGTCCACCAGCGACTCCAGTACGGGCTTCATGTTGATCCAGTGACTGCCCTCGGTGTACCACACCAAGATGCGCCCGCCCTCGGCGCCCGCCGCCGCGCCGAGCAGCAGCAGGAGGGCACACAGCGGGATCCTCTCGCCCGGCATTGTCGTAGAAGTGCGTAGTGTTGCCATGACCTCAAAGCCCTTTGAACAAGCCACTCGTAGAAAATGAATCATTAACTCAACAAAGCTGAACTCTGTCTTGTAGTTGAACTCATCGCAAGGACTCGCAGGTAAAAGGGGATGGCTGTGAAGGTTTACGTTGGGTCAGTTCAAGGATTTCTCAAGTTACGGTACTTGAGGCTGCGCCAAAACTCGAGTCTAAGGAACAAACGAGTCACCTTTTCTGTTCACTTTAGCTACACCTGCGATATCGCAAATACCAAACGCAAGACCTACGGCACGGTTCGAAACATTTGACACTCGCCACATTGACTCCACTCAAGCGTACACTTATCTTAATTAAGTTAATTATTAGTTAAAAGGTAGTGGAGTGCCATCCAGATTTCATTGTGTCAAAGGGAGCAAGAAAATACAAGTCTGGTATGGGATCACTTGCTCGACTTGGTGTCTTGGGCATTCTCTGTCACAAATTAACAAAGTTCTACCAAACAAGTGTGGCCCTCCTGTAAATCGGTAAATCCTAAATCATGTTTATTCGTAGAATGGGAATGCAAACAAATCTGTGGCTTTATCACTTCAACTTATTCTTTTGTGAAACTTGAAATGTAAACATGTGGACTGCACTTCTTAAGTGTTGAACTTATCTACCGGTAGACACTGTCTGTCTCTCTAT